ATTATAACGTCTAGCATTATATTTACAAAGTTATTACTTACAAACAAATTAGTGTTTTCGGGAACAATTTTTGATTCAATTGGCCCTCAGTGTTGNTGGTTAAATAATGTCCTCATAGTGGTAATATGCCAAATATATTAATTATTATAACGTCTAGCATTATATTTACAAAGTTATTACTTACAAACAAATTAGTGTTTTCGGGAACAATTTTTGATTCAATTGGCCCTCAGTGTTGTTTATTGGAAAATATTGCTTTACCGAAATAAGTACGTTGTCTTGCCGTACTAACTTTTCTAATAGAATCTTTTGATGAGCAAGTGCAGACATCACAGCATCATTTTGAGTAGATACGGTTGCTATAAAGACATAAATTAACAATTAAAATATATATATTTATTTATTTTATAAAATATGAAAAAATTCTTACAATTACATTTTTTTTTTAAATTGTCCACGGTTTCTGAAAAAAAACAATAATTAATGGTTTGATAAACATATTTTGTATCTAAGTAAATTAATTTACCTTGCACAGTTTTCAGTCCCTCCACTAAATATGTACAACGCTCGCATGCTGGAACTGGTTTCTTATCTACATAGAATAGAACATTTGCAATTTTTGTAGTTTATGTCTATGGTATATATTATTATTAATATAAAACTTACACGGTGTTGCTATGTTTTCCGAATCTGCTAAAACTATTCTCTTGATTTTCTAAAAAGTGTGATTTATTTAAAAATTTACTNTTTTAGTAGTGTTTTAAAAGTGGAAACTGGTGATTTAGTGCATTTTTGACGTGGTAATTGCTCATAGAAAACAACGAAATTTGTTGAAAGTTGTTAAAAAGTGTGATTTATTTACAGATTTACAGATTTATTTATTTACAGATTTTGTTATTTACAGATTAATTAATAGCACCCATGCAAAAGTGGCAGAAGTAGCATACTGTCATTATAACGAAGACTCATTAACTTACATTATATTTTTTCTATAGGATAATAAACTTCCGTACTATCTAATGAGCAATCA